TTGTGTTAAATGAAGCTCTGTATTAATCAAAACTAATTTGGTGTCACTGCACTAACCTTACCCATATTCCCAGTTTTGATACCTAAAGATTGAGTAGAAGTAACTAAGAAAGAGCTTAAAATGTAAATAAGACATCTTTGAATAGTAAATGTTCTATGTGATTTATTCTTTAAAAGATCCTTTTTGAGATTTCCAGTCAAGATGGCAGCCTAGGTAAACACAGTACTCGCCTCCTCCCACAGCCACATCAAAATTACAAATAAAATACAGAACAACCATCATTCAAAACCACTTGAAATCAAGCTGAATCAAAGTCCTACAACTATAAAATTAAAGAAGCCACACCGAGACTGGTAGGAGGGGCAGAGGTGCAGACGGGCTGGTCTCACACCCACGTGTGGTAGATACAAATCAGGAGGGTGGGTACAAATTGGCTATGAAAGTCCTCTCTGAGAAATGAGAGGTCCCTGTCCTACACCAGGCCTCCCCAGCTCAGGGTTCCAGTGCCAAGAAGAGAAGTCCCCATAACTTCTGGCTCTAAAAACCAGCAGAAACTGAGGCTGAGGGAGGCTGAGGCTTCTGGAGTCCCAGGCAGTTCCTCTTAAAGAGCCCATGGCAGAGACTTAATGGGACACACAACCTCCAGGCTCTAGCATAGGGGAGGCAGCTTGAAAGGCACCCAAGACATATGGGAACAACTGAGTTGTTTGGCATCAAGGCGAGAACTGTAGGGCAGCTTTTGCCCAGACAGACATGCTAGCAGAGACCACTGTTCCTTTGGTGAGCCCTTCCCCCATGGGCCCAGCAGATGGGCACTATATCTGGGACTCCATCAACCTGGTTCATACTGTTTACCCTGGTGATTCCCTGAAGCCCTGCCCAACCCACTTTCCTGCCCACCCAAGCTGTTTCTGGTGGCTTTACTGTAGGATTGGCTTGTTTTGGCTCCTGTTTCAGATTTTTCTAAATTCTCTCAAATAAGCAGCATTTGGTCTCAGCAAGTCCCCATACCTCTCAGGCCTGGCACTAGGAGCAACCTGCCTTGGTTCACAATTTGGCTTTGTCTGGGAACCTCCAAGCCCAGAAGCAGATATCTACAGATCACTTTATAGCTTATGCCTGGTGGCAACCAGGTAGAACACAGGCAGTGGCTGACCTGGTCCCAGAGCCAGCACACTCAATGGACAGCCTCAGAACATGTTGAAGCACCACCACCCAACCACCTCCACAAGTGACACACACAAAGTGTGGACTCAGTGTGTACCAGAGACTTGATGAAGTAAATCTTGCTCTTTGTGCTGGGCCCCTGCACAGCTGATTGATCCTTAAGGCAGTCAGAGGTCAGTGGGCATAGCCAGTCCTTGCAGTTGACCAGTCTGAGTAAATCCCTCCCATTAATGTATCAACAGCAAATCAAAACTCAATTACAAAAGAAGGGTATAAAGTCCACATAAGGGGTGCACCTCGAGGGCACAGCTGGGTAATCAGCGAGGCTGTGCCACAGGACACCTACTATAAAAGGAGATCATACAAGACCTAGAAGACATAGCAACTTTACCTAGTACATAGAAACAAACACAGGGAGGCAGCCACAATGAGGAGACAAAGGTATACGTCCCAAACGAAAGAACAGAACAAAACTCTAGGAAAAGAACTACATGAAATGAAGATAAGCAATCTAACACATGCAGAGTTCAAAACACTGATTGTAAGTATGCTTAATGAACTTAGTGAGGACCTCAAATGCATAAAAAAGGACCAGTCAGAAATAAAGAAGGCACTAACTGAAACAAAAAATAATTTACAGAAAATCAGTAGTAGAGTAGGAGAAGCCAAGAAGCAAACCATCAGTTTGGAATATAAGGAAGCAAAAAAAACCCCAATCAGAACACCAAAAAAAAAAAAAATGAGGATAGTGTAAGGAGCCCCTGGGACAACTTTAGGCGTGCCAACATTTGCATCATAGGGGTGCCAGAAGGAAAACAGAGCAAGAAATCAAAGACCTATTTAAAAAAATAATGACAGAAAACTTCCCTAACTTGGTGAAGGAAACAGACATACAAGTCCAGGAAGCACAGAGAGCCCCAAACAAGATGAACCCCAAGAGGCCCACACCAACACACAATATCATCAAAATGCAAAAGGTTCAAGACAAAGAGAGAATCTTAGAAGCAACAAGAGAGAAGCAGTTAGTTACTTACAAGGGTGTTCCCATAAGACTGTCAGCTGATTTCACAACAAAAAAATTTGCAGGCCAGAAGAACAAGGCAAGAAATATTGAAAGTGATGAAAAACAAGGACCTACAATCAAGATTACTCTATCCTGCAAAGTTATCATTTAGAATCAATAGCCATATAAAGAGTTCCCCAGACAAAAAAAAAAGCTAAAGGAGTTCATCACCACCAAATGTTATATAAAATGTTGAAGGGTCTTCCTGAAGAAAAAGATAAAACATATGAACAATAAAATGGCAGTAAACATATATCTATCAACAGTTGAATCTACAAACAAAACAAACAGCCAGAACAGAAGACTCATAGATACAGAGAACTTTTTGTTGGTTGCCAGATGGGAGGGGGGTTGAGGGAATGGGTAAAAAAGGTGAAGGAATTAAGTGGTACAAATTGGTTGTTAGACTGAGAAAACACAAAGAGAGGAGGGAGGGAAGCAGAAAGAGATAAACCAAAGAACTTATATACACAAAGTAAATGCATAACCAATAGACACTGACAATAGTGTGGGGAAGGCAGGAGAGGGGTGGGAGCAGGGAGGAGGGGTCAATAGGGGAAAAAGGAGGGACATCTTTATACATTCAACAATAAAGATAAGTTTAAGAAAATAGTAAAAATAATACAATATACTTTTTGATTAATCTATATTTAACTGAATAAAACTGCTCTACTTTCTCAGTGTTGTCAACTCAAATTATTTTTTTATTCTAACCAATTATTAATCAGCCATATATATGTATTCATATGTGTGTGTAGCTTGACTAAATAGTTTTCAAAAGGTACTTTGACTAAGATACTTTAGCCCTGGTCTGGGTGGCTCAGTTGGTTGAGCGTCATCCCATGCACCAAGAGGTTGGCAGTTCAATTCCTGGTCCAGTGCACATGCCCAGGTTTCAGGCTAGATCCCCAGTGTGAGGCATGCAGGAGGCAGCCAGTTGATGCTTCTCTCTCTCTCTTCCCCTCTTATTTCTGTGAGCTAAATGGGCCTGCTTTTATATGGCCCTTAAAAAAAAAAAATCTATCTCTAATCTTCCATAACCCTGCAAGAAAGTATCATTATCTCTATTTTACAGATAGAAAAGCCAAAGATAGGTCATTTGCGAAAGGTCGTACAGGTTGCAAGTGGCAGAGAAGAAATTCAAGCTTAGATCAGCAAGGACTTTTCACAATAACCAAAACAAATTGTATTTCTGTTCATAATTTTTAATTAAATCAGTAGTAATCATTTCAAGATAAAAATATGACTTCAATTTAAATCACACATCTAATATCTTAGTAGAGAATTGAATGCAAAATACTTTGACATTTACTACATTTTAAACATTCTTCCTAGGGGATTCTATGACTCATTAACATTTAAGACCCATCCCGCAGGACACATGGACCTGACAGAGAATTTCTGAATGCTCGTTTTCATCTCTACCCCTTGGCATTAGTCTGGATACTTTATTGTTGTGATAATCCACAGCACCTACATTTTAGCTTCACGTATTCCTTTAACAGTCACTCAAGGATACGTTTATTGATTTTACAGAGAGAGGGAGGAATGAAGGGAGAAGCAGGGAGAGGTGGAGAGCAAGAAAAAGAAAGAAAGGGAGAGAAAAGAAGAGATAAGAAACATCGACTGGTTGCGTCTTGTACCTGTCTGAATTTGGGACTGAACCAGCAACCTAGGTACGTATCCTGACAGGGAACCTTTTGGTGTATGGTGGATGTTTCAACAGAGCCACCTGGTGAGGACTTAGTTTCACTTTTTTTTTTTTAACCTCCTATAAGCCAGTGACCAGCACTTCATGTCAGCATTCCACTCCTCCTATTCCACTCTAGACCCAGAACTACTCAATTTATCAATCATCTTAAAATGAAAAGTACACTCTGCCAAACCTATCCTCTTCCTCTCCAACTAAATCTGCTCTTCAGTCTCAGCGGGACTTCAATCTCACGAGTTCTATTTTCTTTCATCTATCAACCCTCCTCTACTTCCTGCTCTGCCCACAGGACAGTCTCAGGCACCCTCACCAGCTACTGTGGACCTTCCCATGGACTTCAGAGGACTCACCCTGCACCTTCCAACCCTGTCCACAATGTCAATGCACAAGTTGGCATGCCACAGTTATAGTTCAGTAGGCTGTTACCCTTAGACCTCTCCTCCCTTTCCTGTTCAGGTCAGCCTCACGATAACAATCCCTATGATGACTTATACTACCAGAGCACTAATTGCATTTGATAATGATTATCTCATTTAATCCCTCTAATTACTCTGTGAGGTGGGTACAGTACTGCCCTCACCACCAAAAGCTAGAGATATTGAAGCTAAGTGGATTAAATAATTGCCTAAAGTCTCACAGCCAGTATATGACAAGATTGAAACTCAACAGAGCCAGCCGATTTCCACAGCCTGAACTCAAGGTTCCTTTTCCACCTGCTCTGGTAGCAAGGAGGAAAAAGTAAAAGGGGGAAAGCAGCTCAGACATTTGCCACTTGGAGAAAACAAAGTCAAGGCAACTCATTTCTTGGAAAGCTTTGCCCACATCTCTGCTCCCCTCCACTTTGACTCTGTCCTTAGTTTTCAGAACTCATTTTCATAAAATGACAGATAATGAATGGTACCAAAAAAAAATACACCTTGTTTTGGAAAGTTTATTAATAAGCTTTATGTTTGAAAAAATTGTCGTTTATCTGTACAAACATATAAAGAATAGCATGCAATGTACTGTGAAAAACTTTGAGATTGAAAATTAATATTGTGACCAATTTTTCAAACTCACCTTTTATTTTCCTTGTAATTTTCCAATTGTTGGGACTGCGTGTGTTTATATCTTTCTAATTCACACTGTGCACATAAATCCTCCAGATTCAGCAGGTGGTTTTCTACTTCCTCAAAACTAGTTTCTAAATGTGCTGAAAGTATATAACGTCAAAAGAACAAACATCAAAAATTAGAATCCTTGATCATGGGGAAAAAAAAGTATCCAAAAGTTAAAAATGGAAACTGTTGCATTTATTTAATACTGCTTATTAAACTTTCTTGAAGTAAAATAGAATACACTGAACAACATTAGACATACTTCAAATTACCTTTGTTGAGTATATTTTTATATTTAAAATATTTTCAAGATGAAGCTTTCCATAACATTAACCAGGATGATGAGGAAACGGTATCTTGATTAGTCTAACATAATATCACAATGACCCCATTTACCACACATGAATAATCAATTTCCAATAATGAGAACAAAGCAAAATATAATTAACAAAATTATACTGAACATTTTCTGTTATTGTTAATTCTCACCTGAGGATATTTTTTCCATAGATTTTTCAAGAAAGTGTGGAAGGTGTGGTGGGGGAGAAAAACATTGATTTGAGAGAGAGAGAGACATTGATTTGTTATGTCCCACACATACCCCAACCAGGGCTGAGGAGCAAACCTGCAACCCATGTAAATGCGCTTGACTGGGAATTGAACCTGAGACCCTTCAATGTGCGGGCTGATGCTCTAATCACTGAATCACATGGGCCAGGGCCTGGACATAATTTAATATTTAAGATTGAAAGTCACTTTAATATTTGTTTTGCCACAGCGTATTGTATACCTTAATCTTCAGGGAACTGTAGAGATATACAAATACTCAGTAACCACAGTCAGTGGTCGGTGGGAAGATACTCAGCTCTGTCTACCAGTCAAATAGTCGTTGACTACTCTACTCTGCCTTTAGGTCACAGAGCTCTGCAGCTTTACTGAAACATGAAGATCATCTAGTCAAATCCTTTACTTAAAAGATTCAAGACCAAAGCCTAAGAAATTAATTCAGTGCTTTGCCAAAGTCATCTAGCTAGTGAAGGGCAGTCAGGAGTCAAAACTGAGTCCCTCCTACAGTACACGACAAAAAGTTCCAATTGACAGGGTGCTAATTAAACCAGACTTCACAGTTGTAGGCGTGAGGACTGGCTTTCTTAGACAACAGAAAGGTTTTAGGGGACAAAGATTTTAGAACTCAAAACAGAACCATGGCCTGACACTCACCATATGTGAGGACTCTGCGACACAAAGATGAAAAAGCCAGTCCTTGTGCTCAAAGAGTTTCAAGTAGAGGGGAAGTGCCCTGGCCGGTGGTTAGAGCATCAGTCCACAGACCAATGAGTTGTGGGTTCAATTCCAGTCGAGGGCATGTACCTCAGTTGGGATTAGTCCCTAGCCCTGGTTGGGGTTGTGTGGGAGGCAGCCACTCAATGTGTCCCTTTCACATAGATGTTTCTCTCTCTCTCTTCCTCTCTCTCCCTCTCACTCTACCTGAACAAAAATGGAAAAATGTCCTTGGGTGAGGATTTTAAAAAAGTAGAGGGGAAGCATATTTCAATGACAACACAGTTGGAAAGACCTAGGCACGAGGTGCTGTGAGGATTCGAGGAGCTGCATCTAACATGGATGAAAGAGAAGGTGCAACTTGAGATCTGACTCCCAGGTCTGGAGGTCACAGCCACCCTGTAGGCCAGGGAAGCAGCGAGGAAGCTGGCTGTGCAGCCTTCCAGCCTCAGTTCCACTTAGCAGCTGTAATACAACTACAGTGTGTCAGATTCCTCCATTTATCTGCTGGATTTTCATGACTTTTTTTTAATCCTCACCTGAGGATGTGTTTTTATTGATTTTAGAGAGAGAAACATAGCTGTGAAAGAGAAAATCAACTGGCTGCCTCCTGTATGTGCTCCGACTGGGGATCAAACCCACAAGCTGTATGTGCCCTAATTGTGAATTGAACCCACAACTTTTTGGTGTATGGGACAACAATCCAACCACCTGAGCCACCCCAGCCAGGGCTCACAGGACTTTCTAAACTAGCTTTTGTAGCATCTCCTCAAATTTTAACTTGCAATTTTAGGTTTCTTAAGATGCAAATTCTGGCCTGTTTTCAATTAATCTTTGTTTGATCCTAAGATTTATTAAATCCAGAAACATTCACATTTTCTAATATTCTTAATTTTAATTCTACTAAGTATGTAGGCTTATAAAACTCCCTCTCCTATTAGGTAGTGTCTAGGGCTTCAAGACATGGGGGGGGGGGGCAATAAAGTTTCCTTGAAAAGCAACCGTGGTGACAAGTTTAGCGCTCCTGCTCAAAGTCATTAGGTACTGACCTTGATCATACTGCTGTATCACTGGTGAGTCTAGAAACGGCTGATAACAATGCAGTTCATAATAGTTTTGGATCTATCCTCAGTGGCCACACAAAACAGCTAATATATTTGATTATAGCAAGCCTACCCTGAAACAATTTGCAAAATCTAAATTTTAAACTATTAAAAATGTACCAAAATTTTTAATAATGTCATAAATAGTATATTACAAGTTTATGTGCGGGGAACAAGAAAAATGATGTGATTATACTAGTTGCTATTTAGATTTTTTGTTTTTACATTTAATGTTACAAACAACTGGGAGATTTAGCCTGGAAGGTAGTACTACTGGCCCTGAGGAAGTAATATTCAGCTCATTCTGTTAAAACTAGTTTGACAGGGTCTTAAAAGATCCTAGCTAATAGGTTATTTAAAAGGCTATTGCACTTTGATTAGTGCCAAGAACTAGAATAATTAAATTTAATATAGAATCCATTTAACTCTAAGCTACGTGGTGTATTCATGTTATCCTTAGTACCATGCACTTATCCTCAGCATAAAGGGGACTGGGTAAGAGTAGACTTTAAAGCACAAGCTTGGAAACCCAGCTCTGCCCCCTAGAGATGAGATGAGATGAAATGAGATGAGATGAGATGAGATGAGATGAGATGAGATGAGATGAGATGAGATACTTCCTCAGTGTACAGAAGGCTAAAAATACACATCTTGGGAAGCTGTCAAAAAGGTTTAATGAGGCAAAGTATGTAAAGTAGCTCACTTAGCACTTGGCAGTAAATAAATAATTAATGGTCAAACTATGAAAAAAAGTAAAAAACATTTTTATAAAGATTAGTTAAGTTTTGGGTTTTATTTTAATCCTCACCTGAGGATATTTTTCTATTTATCTTCAGATAGAGTGGGAGGGAGAATAAAAGGGAGAGAGAGAGAAATATAAACATGAGAGGGACACATCAACTGGTTGCCTCCCTCATGACCCCAACCAGGGCTGGAGATGAACCACAACTGAGGTATGTGCCTTTGATCAGAATTGAACCCAAGACTTATTGGTCGGCGGGCCAAAACTCTACTGCGGAGCCAAACTGGCCAGGGCTTAGTTACATTTGGAAAAGTCATTTAAATAATAATTTTGAGCCCTGGCCAGGACGGCTCAGTGGTTAGAGCATTTGCCTGCAATCTAGAGAGACCCAGGTTTAATTCCTGATAAGGGCGCATACATTGGTTGCAGTTTGTCCCCAGCCCTCGTTGGTTGTGTGGTGGCAACCACTCAATGTGTCCCTTTCATGTCAATGTTTCTCTCTCTCTCTCTTCCTCTCTCTCCCTCCCACTCTATCTGAACAAAAAATGTAAAAATGTCCTCGAATGAGGATAACAAAATAATAATAATAGTAATTTTGAGAACAGTAATGATCATGTTGTAAGTAACACCTATGCATCTAATACACCAAAATATCAATTAACTTTTCATTTTTTTTCTGGCAAACATATATACTTGTAAATAATACTCAAGGTTGTTTTGAGACTTAAGATCCCTTATTCTTGTAAGTGAGGGAGATTATATTTCAAATGACTTTCCTAAAAAGAAAATATTTAATGGAGTCAATTACATTTGAAAATGCATATATTCTTTTTAATCTTTTTTTTTTTTAAATTTGGACAGATAGCAAATTCCATTTAGAGTCTAGCTCTGTTGGTTGACTACAGATCTAAGGAGACCAGGAACTCTAATAAGTTGATCCCTTGGCAGGCTAATTAATTTTTCATGTTCTAGGTACAAACTGAAATTGCCGGCCTACTCCACTTTGGTTCATAAAATGGGGACCAGGTGAAAACATGAATAGTTTAGTACCAACTACTAATAAGAAAGAAACAAAGTATATGTCCTTCTGAATAGGCCAACAGCATCATGTTCTTGTGTTTAACAGCAAATTTAGATTTAAAATGCTTGTGACAGTCAGCCCTAGCCAGTGTGGTACAATGGTTAGAGTACAGTCCTGTGCACAGAAGGGTCATGGGTTCAATTCCCAGTAAGGGCATATACTCAGGTTTTGGGTTTGATCCCCGGTCTAGGCACTTACGGGAAGCAACCAATTGATGTTTCTCTCTCTGTCTCTAACCCCATCCCTTCCTCTCTCCTTTCCTCCCTTTCTCCCTCCCTCTTCTTCTCCCATCCTTTCTCTCTAGAATAAATGAAAGAAAGAAAGAAAAAAGCCACATATCCTCAGGTGAGGATTACAAAACAATGCTTAGAATTCAGGGACCTATCAGCCCCTGGTCACAACCTACTTTTCCAATCTCACTTCTACTTTGCTTCAGGATTCATTAATCCAGAGAGAGCCCTGCCTGTCCCTGAGATGTCCCTGCTGGCTTCCACTGCTCAGCCCTGAGCTCCCTTCTCGGGCTCAGGTCAGTGCTGGCCCTCAGAGCTCTCTTCCTCTTCTGTGCTGCCACATATCTTTGAAACTACATAGGCTTACATTCTGACATTACACACCTATTTGTGTACTACAACCTCTCAGGAATCAGCAGGGGTCTTAAGAGTAACAACCGTATTTTTCCATCTTTGTATCCCATAATACTTAGTCTGTTGAATTCAATTAGGAATGATTTCTTGTGACAAAATGAGTCTATCACTCTAAAATGTAAAATAATAACCGAGAAAGCAAATCTATGATTCATGTTGATCTAACTTAAATATTAGGAGGTTATGCTCAATTTTGCAAATAAACAAACTGAGCATGAACAGAGAACGTATAAAACATCAAACT